CCATGCATACATGTGACTTTACACTTGGTCGTGTCTACATGTGACTCAACTCCTGGTCATGTATACATGTGACTCAATACTTGGTCATGTCTACATGTGACTCAACACCTGGTCATGTCTTCATGTGACTCAACACTTGGTCACGTCTACATGTGACTCAATAATTGGTCACATCTACATGTGACTTTACACTTGGTCGTGTCTACATTTGACTCAACGAATGGTCTTGTCTGTCTTGAGCAAGTGCCGTCTTTCAATTACTGGTGGATCAAAACGGATGATTTCACGTTACAGCTGCAGGAAAACCACGTGAAGTCGCTGATCCTTAAATAACGACGGAATATTTGAGGTAGTTTCTATATAAAAGCGGAAAAACGCACCGGAACGTTTATCTTTCGTTCAAAGCCGTGACATTCTATTTCTAACTTTATCATATTCATATCAAAGTCAAATCAAAGTTCATTTGATTCGACTCCAACTGACACATAACTGTATATAAGAAATCGCAAATTCGTTTTACATTGTTATCATTTTAAGAAAAATGAAAAGCACACTTTACTGATTAAGTGTGCTTGATTTTTAAATCTTATAAATGTATGTCATCCTGTGCAGCCGGAACAATGCTAAACTATGAAGTATATCGCAATATATCTGGTTAAATATTACAATAAACCTGTATGGCAAAATGAAACTGTTGACAACACATATTTGAAGTAATAATATTGTAATGACCGAGAGGTCGACCTGAAGCGTTCGACGCGGTGTGCTAGTAGGTCTTGCGCCCGGCATTGGGGGCAACTAGTACCAGACCTCTTAATCAGGTGCAAGAATAATACCGTAAATGATGTTTATCTCCAGGTAGCTTTTAGTGGCGGTATGAAAAGTGCCACAAATATATTGCTTAAATTGGTTTGTACGTGCAGCTGGCGTTATGAATTAGACAGAAAGTTGTGGAAAGTCTTTAATTTAAGACAATTCAAAAATTTAACAACAAGCTGGCATTTGCCTCACTTGCAAAGTCGGTCCACACAGCATTACATTGTTATTCGAGTAAGAAAAACAACGTTTGTTTGTTGAGGTTTTCGCTTCTTCACAATAACTAAGGTTAAACATAATTGTATGTACACATATAATGGATTGTGCATTATTGCCAACTCTAGTAGTAAATACATATCGATTGGTTTGTACGTTATTGTACAACATTTCAACTTAGTTTTACGTGTATGGATCGAGATGAAAATGAAAAAGTGTATATATAAAGACAATATCCACAGGTGATTGGACCAATCGATATCGCTGATAAGTAATAACTTCGACACGGAAGCGCGACAGCCCTGGGGTCTTATTATTTCGGACACGGGTTACTCGATACTAGATGGAAAATAATTCGACAAGTCTTGACAAATGTTACGGATATTTGTACCGATATGGTATTATCACGCTAAATACATTACACCATTTACACAGTTCGTTTCTATGCCTTTTTTTCGGTAAATATATAGAGAGCGTAGGGATTGTATCCTTTGCGACATGCGGAGAAGCCAGCCGAATTCATCAACAAGGTAAGATCCCCCTAGTTATGTTAACGATTAACGCGTGCTGTTGTCCAAGACTTTTGCCTTCGTCTACGAAACAAGCAATGTAACGTTTCACCGTTATATCGACCTACGTCAGACGAGGAAAAGAGGCGCGTGAAACCTTTTGTACGGGTAGGATTCTATTTTTGTGAGAATATAGGACTGTTTGGACCAATGTGTGTATGTGGAAAAAAAAGTCAATAAAGAGCAGTTGGGGCAGGTAACTATCAGGTAATTTTCAGCTCAAAACAATTTCTGCATTTCATATCTCTATCTTCATTGATGACATGGCTTCCTCCACATCTATATCAGAGCTAACAAACACACATCTGTCACATTCCTGTTCGGTAAGGTATCATAATCATCTTTCCTCGCCTACATTACCAACCCCAAATCTTCCCCATTGGTGGGTGACAAAGTAACTTCTTTATCCATTACAAAGTTGTTACTTATCGGTACAAGAGAAGATAGATTAGGGAAGTCTGCTGTCCCATTCTAACGTTTATAAACAAATTTGACTGGAGAAACACGATGGTATAATTAACTGCATATATTTTGCATTGATTCACAGTATTTACTGTAAATATCGCAACATTTGGAGCCATTGGCAGCAGTTTTAAATTCCCGTGTGCTTAGTTGGTGCGAATTATCGCGTTTCTGCGTCGATTCGAGTACGTTATATAAAATATTACTTTCAATAATACACCCTCTATTGATGGGCGAAACGTCGCGGGTCGAGTGACATGAAATATACAATTTCGTCACACCGTTGTACTGGTAAACGATACAAATCGTCCAATCAGTCTTGAATCTGTCTTGAAACGTAGCGACACGTTAAATACGTACACTGTTCGTGTATAAAGTAAAACTTCGATATTACATTCAATGATTGTCAAAAAGGTTGTGAATGATGTGTACATCTTCGTAATGTTCACGAATCTCCACTGAGGTGCCTCTGCCCAGTGAACCAATAACTTAAAAGAGTCATTTTATCAGTAAACATTTGCTCACAGCTTCCGATAGCAGATGTATTAGAACGTCGCGGAGTTGTCCCGTAACTGGATGCAGCGGAGGACAAACAAATTACTATCACTGTACCGGTACACTTATTATGAACTTCCGAACGTTCTTTTTAAATCCTATCAATAAATCAAAGTTCTATCAAATATAATAATTAACGACTCGTCATATTTGTCGCGTATGTCAACACATGTGGTAGTTTTCAAACATTTCACAAATTCTCACCTACACAAAAAGACAAAACAGGTAATACATTTTTGCAGCATTTACTGATTTTCACATATCTATAAATTTAACATACATATTCTTGAAATAATAAATAGCCGACTTCTCCATTCATTACAAGTTCTAGAAAACGGACAAATTACGACAACGTTCGCAAAATTGACAATAGGGACACCAATGCCGCCTCCAGCAGTCGTCATTTGAATTCGAACACTCTCTCTCTCTCTCACGGGGTCCTTCTGACGATTGACATATCCTTCAAATCACCGCCTCTCAATATTTGGCTCTGTTTGTTTCTCTGGGTTAAACATCTCACCATCAAACCATCTTTTTTCTTGGTTGACATCTCAACATCAAATCATCTTTTTCAAGCTATGACATCTCACCATTTAAACACATTTTGTCTGGGTTTGACATCCCTGCATCAAATCTTCTTTTATACAAGTTTTACATCTCAACATCAAATCGTTTCTCTGTGGGTTATTTTAGTTTGGCATCTTCCCACCAAATCTTTGTTTCTCTGGGTTTGACATCTCACAATCAAATTATACATTTTTCTTGGTTTGACATCTCACCATCGAATCATCTTTATTCTGGGTTTGACATCTCACTATCAAATCATCTTTTTTTTCTTGGTTTGATATCTCAACGTCATCATCATCATCTTCCATTAAGTGACAGATCTCCTTAACGTCATATCATCTTTTTTCAGGGTTCGACATCTCACCATCAAATCATCTTTTTTCCCGTGTTTCACATTTCACCATCAAATCAACATTTTTTCTGTGTTTCACATCTCACCATCAAATCATCTTTTTTCTGGGTTTCACATCTCACCATCAAATCATCTTTTTTCTGGGTTTCACATCTCACCATCAAATCATCTTTTTTTCTGGGTTTTTACATCTCACCATCAAATCATCTTTTCCCCGTGTATGACATCAGCACCACTTAACGTCTGACATAAACTTCGGAATATCATTGCTCTTGTCATTTGACAGTTCATCATCAAATCATCGCTTGTAGACGTTTGGCATCTCACCTGCAAACTCAATCTTATTTAACCCTCATTTCTATAAGTTTAATATTTTACGATCAAATTATCACTTTCAGTTGCTCACCTTGTTTATTTACTTTCACTATCCCTTCTACCAGTAACTCAAAAGACAAGTAGCATGACGTTCTGTAGAAAAGATAGATAATAAGAATAAATAAGTAAGCAAATCCCCATTTCGTGAACAATCATGAATTTTAGCAACTATCACCTGATCATGAATTTTCATGTTCTATGCCACATCGGGTTGCGCCGCAAGGTAGTAGTGTCTATACCAATCTACATCCAAAACACGATTCCTATCTTTTTATAATTCATTATTACGTTGGTGGCTCTGGTGATAGTAATACGTTACTTTCAGAATAAAATGTCGTTCTGCAATGTGCGTCATTGTTACATTCTCTAAAGAGTTTAACTTTGCAAAAACAAATCATATAATTGGTTCAATAATGGAAAATGAGATATGTAACTACTATGAAATAGTGGTTTTCTTTTTGTAGTAGGTGATGAATTATGTAGCTTGTTTATAAATTGTTTAGAGTACTGTATTAAACATGAACACATTGTGCTAATCGTAAATGTTACCAACATATACGGTCTAAAGGAAACTAAAACAAATTGAAATCACTCCACGGATACGCATGCACAAGCGTCAAGACGATTGTGATTGTATGTCATATCAAGAGTATATAGGACGTTCGAACAAATTCAACGAATGATGGATTATGAACACAAATTATTCAGTTCAGAAAAGAAACAGTCGTTTTGCTATTCATCTTGCTTTTTGCACTAAAACGTGTTCATGATATAGAAAACTAGATTGTATAGCAGGTGCGAGTGAATAAAACCCATTAGATGGAGAAACACACGTCATCTATATGTATACTAGCAAGAAAAACATGGAATTATTTACACTAATTATCACAAAATGTTGTACTAAACCTATAAGTTAGTTGACAAACCAATACAATATTTGTGACATGTATGAATACAAGCAACATATATGACACATAGCATGCAGCAAATAGAAACAATTATAAACACACGGGTCAAAATATAGCTGTTACAGAAATAGTTTATGAACCTTAAAATAAACTAGGTACAAAACAAAAACCAATGAAGGGTCGACGAAAACTGGACGATACATTTCCACTTTTATTTCATATCAACATTTACACAACAGATTTACAAAATGAACTACACGTTTAAAATGTTAAAATACTATTAGTAGTCAATTTCATGATCGGTGAAGTCATACATTCTCCTCATTACTCCTAACATACAGCTAAAAACACGAGACCGCTAAAAGTGAGAACACGGTCAAAAGCCTGAAAACGCATTCAAAATGGCATGATACGATATCAAAATGGAAAATGTTTAAAGTCTGTGACTGTCATTATATGTCAATAAAAAGGTAATTTCACAAAGCACTGAATCGTTCCTTTGATCCGATCATCTTATACACTGTCCATCCATGATCTGATCGCCCTCCTGATGGCTGGGATATTGCAAAACATCAATTATAGATAGGACCTAAAATGTATGCATCAACAGACTTCATAGAAACCACACGGTGCTGGTCATTCTCTACAACATCCGCCGGATAGAGGACTTAATGGGAACACAACCTGTCAACATAAAGAAGTCGTGTATTAACTCACATCGTTACACTGAGTTAAATAGCAAGGTCTCAATTTCTTAATTAACCTTTTAGAAACACAGTTCCATCTTCCTTAGAAAGTTTGTGTAAATAGAGAGGGTCAATATGATCGGCATATTAAAGTTTAATATCAAAACCAAAGTTCGAATCCGAATGGAGGTATTTTTTTCTAGAAGATGCATCATCCCCCTTTTTTTCTTCGTGTAAATCTGGAACTATTAAGTATCGCAACACGGTACTATATACCAATACATTTTTTTCAGTGACCATCATACGTAACGAGGCTTGGCCAAATTTTACACCATCTCCAATATTTCAATCCCAGAATGATTTTTTGCCTATTCAATGTCATGCAAAGATAATGTACCACGTTTTACTTATCAGCCATTATCTGAATGCATGGTACCGATCTAAAATATTACACCGATTTTTATATATAGCATGTAACACAATAAGTATAGATCTTATAGGGCCAAAGTTCACAGGAAATTCGGGAGAAAACGGTTGAGTCTGATACAAGGAATTAATCACACCAGTGAATGGCAGTGTGAGAAATCACAGAAACGTTTTTGTTTAATTTGATGGCAATCAATCATAAAACAGACCTACTTCGGGACGCACTCCATAAACATCGTTACAGTAGGCAACGATAAGAATGGGATTCAACTTTAGTGTGAAACCGATATCCCAAAAGAGATTTCATCGGCTGGTAATAAAGTAATGGACTAGCCTGGTATATGGGGTGAGGAATGAGGGAAACTGTCAATGTGAAATACCGCAGACGTTAACACGAGCTGGCAGAGTGGGGAGCTTGTTTACCTACGTCCAATAGAAGAGGAAATCAATTTCAGTTTCAAGACTCAACAATTGCTTAATTTGTGGTTATCAATTAATGTCCTATCTGGTGTTATAGGCACATCTGTTACAGGGCTTGATTAAAACGTCAGAGTGCTGAAGCGCGTTAGATTAACACCGCCGCAATGTTAGCTTCATCAGCGGGCCTTCTACATGTTACGGGTAATTAAAATATATCATCATTTTAATGAATTTCACTTGAAGGACATAGGATAAAACCATAAGAGATTAATAAATATTTTAGATATCTTCAATAAATGTTGTTTCACTGTCCACTTTGGAGAAAAGTTTCTATCGCTTTTGGATCTTATTTAAATTTGAACAATGGGATGGCATGAGTGTTTTTATGTACAATCACTGAGAGTTTTAACACACTCTTTACATACCTGTGACGAAGGTAATGATCTGCTCATAGATGCAGATGTATCACCTTAGGTAATTATTTTATGGGAATTTTAGCAGCAGTAAAATCTTAAATATATGAGTAACGTTTAATGGCAATTGAAAAATACCATACTGTGGATGGTTTTTATTCCGGTTGTAACCGAATTTCATAAATAACATTCATTTTTACCTTACCTGGAATTACAACCCTTAAAATAAAGTAGCGTCAAAGAGATGTATTTACATTACTTATAGTTTGATAGAAAGCTTATTTTCAGCTTACTATACTTCTTTATACAGACGTTCGTACAAGTCCATAATGCACGCCAATCTAACAATATAGATCCGCAATTTGGATTTTTTAATCAGGTTGTTTAGAATGTTTAACAATTCTTGATACACATGGGTGTTTCTATTAAGTTAGAATTAGCCAATGTTTCGTTGTATATAAACACTGTGAGCCTAATGGGGGGGTTATGTAGATCTGTAAGGAGCTCTGGCCTTTCTCGAACACGCCTACGGCAAGGCTGTGTTTGAAACGACAGTAATGGACGAGCCATATGGACCGATGTTTCAACACACAGCTGCAAACACGGAACACCCTATAAAGTGCCACTTCAGATACAATTACCGGTAATGGTATTACTCTAGTATTAATCTGTCCCTCTGTAAGTAATTGTCTATATCCTGTACTAAATCAATTTGTTGTATCAATTGATGTAGTCATCTCTTTTAAATTTAAACTGTTCAAATCCGCATTTATCTATCACAATACACAAGAAAATTACATTCACCCAGTGATGTTGAATTCACCTGCATCTCGTTAATAATTTATTATAGTTATGTATTGCATATCCTATTACTCAAGGAAGTTGCAAATTTCAAATTGTGAAATGTGCAAGATTTATCACTAAATTGTATTCGTGGTGTGCCATTTGATTTACTACTAAATGATTTATTACCGATTATGACCAGATAATATAAGGACAGCCGAGATACCTTACTGAAATGCCACACCCTGGACACAGTAGACCAAACACCAACAAGTCACACTACACTATAATAATGTTAGTGACAATATGACATTTATGGCAGTATTCTTTTCAATATAAAATGCCTTAGTAAGGAACATTATTTAAGAAATATTTCCGTAATTTCTACATTTCTTATAAAATATCAAATCCTCACACTTCAACTAAGTGAACAAAAACAATTTTCTCCTCAAACTCAAAATGTCTAGTCTAAAACCTCAACAATTCATTATAGCCTTTAACCATAAATAATGAAATGTCTTTCCTCGAACCTTTGCGCTAGAAATAAATATTTTAATGTCCAATTACTGCACGAAATTGTCTTCAACTTCAATACCAATCCATAACATTAGGATAAAATAGTGTTTGAGAGTCTGGGAGAAGTGCATATGCCTGTGCTTTACGCCACCGGTATCGAGCAATGATTTTTATTCACATCAAAGCAAATTCTTACATCTGGGTGGTCAAATGTGAAGCTTTAACTGTATAAAATCCCGTTCACTTGGGAGAAAATCTTGTGTTAAGTATTTGTTTTTCTCTGTTTTGTATCATTCAGCATAGAAGAGTGCACAGGTATATCGAGTTAGTGATTTGGCTGGCTGGCGACGATGCTACCGTGATTTCACTGGCTGGCTAGGCGATACTTCTGAGCCAGTTGAACAGACATGGGGCCTGGCGGATAGCAAGTCACCCATCAACACACAAATGCATTAAATTCAAACCTGACACCTCATCAATGACAGCAATATTAACCCTGACAAGTAAGAGGCATGTATTTTGTTGAATATAACTGTCTCCACTAATTTGAATAACAGCCGCGATTACATGGTTCAAAGCCTACCCAAAGACTGCGAGCCCGCAGTCTTCATAAAACATTAGCTATCACTATATATATTTCAAATCTTGCACTGATAATCAAATAAATCAGGTATAAACAAGTGAAAATTCCCCAGATTAAGTGAAAGATAGCCATCAGTAACATATGTTTTGTATCCAGTGGATTGAGAAAGGCGGCCAGTGTATCAGGCGCAGGGGGACACCCACTGTGCTCCCGATACTTATAACATTATCACAGTTATATAACATATTTATAAACCTCTTCTGCAATAAGGCTGCACAGTAGATGATAAGTCAGCAAAGTTTCCGTAAGAAGCATTTCATATTTACAAACAATAGAGATTATCTAAACTCGCTGCTGAAAACATTTCAAACAAATTGATACCTGGGGTTAAAGTCCTCAATTTTAGTTGAATGTGTTCCGGTGTGTTCGCCGGCCAAAACACGCAGTCTCAGGCACATACGAACTTTTATCTTAAATCTCAATCCCACATGCGTCATACATGTGAAGTTTAGACTAATTGAGAGCGAAACATTTTGTAGTCGCAACCGTATCATTGTCATTGGTAGCCTTTATCATCAACTTAATGCTTTGATTAAGGATAGGAACTTATCCTACAACAATTACGAAACAAGTATTATTGAATAATTGCTCGCTGATGGATGGGTGGATGAAGGGGGTCTCAAAGAGTATGAAGTGACCAGAGATCGCTGATGGATGGGTGGATGAAGGGGGTCTCAAAGAGTATGAAGTGACCAGAGAAAACATGTGTGATCGGGCAGGTGATCCAATACTTTTTCATGACCAATCAGGGATTCAACCCCATGCCATCTTGGTAATGGTGAGTGAGCTACCCACTTCGCAATCAAACTCCGATTAAAACTTAATGGTATCATATAAGGCAGATTTTACTGATATTACCTCAATAATAGATCAACTTAAACTTGTACTAAGAAAGCAGTATGACAGGAAAGCATTGGTATATTGGTTGGTGTGATAAGACAAAAACCGTTGGGATTCTTTTGTCTCCTTTCAAACATAAAAAAGAGCAGACTTTTAATGATACTTAATACATTTTTCAGTAATACGGTTTATCACTCAGGATTTTGTTACTTTGTGATAGCCCAACAATTTCAAAATAGATATATGAAACCTTACCTCATACAGCAGGCGATCTTGTGTACGAAAACAAAAACCGTATGAAAAACGGAACCAAACATCCTAATGAACTGCTTTTTTCAATCAACAGTATTTCAAAATATACAAAGTATACCTATTAATTCCTTCACACCTATCTCGATTGTATGCTCAATATTTCTATCTTTGAGCTATGAGATAGGGTATGATACATTTCAATGTTCTGTAAAATCTAAGAGAAATAAATGCACAAGTCCCACTCTTTCGTTTTTATTTTGGTATACCGACAATATAAGATAGCTACCTTTGTACTAACAGATAAATGCCATTAGAAGTATTTTGTTTGATTAAGTTGGCGGTCAGCAAAGGAATGGTCAGTGATTCTTTCCCAGTCCTGCTGTGTCTGACCAACGACAAATCCGATCTCGCGCCGTCGAGACTGGTTTTTGCGCTCCTCTATATCGGCCCACTGCACCTAAAAAACAAATCATTCCTCAATGTAACAAAGATATACATGACTTAAGATGAATTGTATAAATAAAACAATGAATGAAAGTTGACATTTTGAAAACTTACTTTCCAAACAAGGCTGGATACTTTTCAGAAACAAAACATTTCCAACAATGTTGATAAGTACATAAACTATATATATACGAAACATGATGGTATTTTGTTGGAATGGCTTTCAAATAAGGCAGGTTACATTTTAAGCCCAAGACATTGATCCAGTAAATCATTTCTTTACTGTCATGTAGAAGGTTGTTGTCTAGACTTTAAAGTCCCGGGACGATAACTGAATCAATATCTCACCCTCTTCTTTCCTGGTATGGAAGGACGGGACATTATGTCATCAGCTAGTTGCAGGAAATCCTCCATAGTTGTTGGGTCTGGGGAACGCTTCCGTTTACCATGGCGAAGGCCATCTAACTTATCTGTTAGAGACACAATACAAGTTTAGTATTGTTATTCATTTAGATATTCTGATTCCTTAGAAAGAAAATTGTAAGAAATTACTGCCGTGAATTCAATTCATGCTTTTTTCATATCAGCTGTATTTACAGAATAAAGTTCATAATGTATGCCATATTTATTTATTTTTTAAATCACATTAATTCAACATTCTGCAATACTTAAAATATTCCAGCCTCAACGAAATTTGCCATGAATATAGAAAACAAAACGTTCACCTGCTTCTAATAATTTCTTTCTAGAATAAGCAGACCCTTACTATTACAAACATTTACGAGCAAAACAAATGAAAATAATAACCTTTCATAATAAATAAATATTATACTTAAGTTTTATTAACTATTTTGTCACTTTTAATGTGTCAATCCTTGTTACACCACACAAAACAGACTTAACATTGGCAAATTAAGAAAGTATACTATTTATAGTATTGTTTATGACTTTCTGTATTGGAGAAACATATGCGTCAAACGGTTGTGATAAAATATGTAATATTTTTGATAAATGTCTGTTTTATTCTGTACCACCACGTTCTGTGCCTCTGTTGGTTTACCTACCAGATATGGTGTGTTATTAGCATATTGATACCATTCTAAGGCATTAGACATGAGACCTGAAGTCCTGCTACATGACTAGACATGAGACCTAAAGTCCTACTACATGACTTGATGTAATGGACTGATAACATGAACACCTACCCAAATGCTCCTCCGACGTGTCTATCTCCCACCGACTTTTCTTGTATGCCTAATAATACAGCAACAAAACAAATTACAAAAGAATTGCAAGACAGACGTGAGAGGATTTATTTACCGATGTTAGGAGTCACCGAAGCAGTAAATCAACAATCAGTTATCAGGAAAATACAAACAAGTTGCTGAGACACAACACAACCATTAAATAGCAGCTTCAAATCTGTCAGGGGTTTTTGAACTCTAAAATGTACCTAAACTCCTTTATCAAACAAGAGGCCCAGAGGGCCTGTATCGCTCACCTGGATAGATGTTAAAAATACTTGATATGGAGTAAAGATATAGCACTCCTAATTGGTAGGTATGAAATTTCAGAAAGATCCATCCAGTATTTCTGGAGAAATAGCGAGAACAAACTTCAAATGTCAAAATCCAAGATGGCGGCCTGGTGGTCGTCTTGTTTTAATGAATACATCCTAATAGTAACAGGCACTACTAGACAACTTGGTGGTGACAACATTGGGATAAAATCTTAAATCCCTATTGTAGGAAGAGGATTTCAAAGGTTTTACCTCTATTTCCCCTATTGGGCCCTACCCCTCTGCCCAGCAGGACACACCCACCATTTATACAAAATTGAGTGCCCTTTGCCCAAGGATGCTCCAGATCAAATTTAGTCAAAATCTACTTGGCCGTTCAGGACTAGTAGTGTTTTAAAGGAAAAGTTGATGGATGGACGATGGAGACGGATGCTGCGCCATGGCATAAGCCCACTTGCCCTTCGGGCAGGTGAGCTGAAAAGGACATTTTTTAAAGGCAGTAAAATTCTAAGGCAATTTGAAAAGGTGTTTGTTGTGTTTCATTTACTATTTGTATTAAATTCGTACATTTTTCATCGCAACAATATTAAAGCATAACCACGCATTTCATGAAGAAACTATTAACTGCATTAATCACAACATTCCTGCAATATAACAGTTTTGCATTTTCCAATTTAGCACAGTTTTGCATTTTAACAAACAATATATACCTGTAAGATCAATGAATTCAGCTTGAAGAAGTCTGAAAATGTTTGTCATAGAAACGTTGAAGTTTATGAATAAAACCATTTATAGCCATGGTTAAATTTATTCAATATGCAATTATGCAATAATACGTGAACGTGAGAAGTCCGGTGCGCTGCTCTCAAGAGGATGAATGGATAAGACACACGAGAGGTAGGTCTGCTTACCGATAACATGATAATAATCTGCTTCAGTCATCACTAATTACGCGTACCATTTGTACAAAGTATGAGATTTTGCAGAAAAATATTTGAATAAGTCACTATTGACTTTAATTAGACAAAATTAATAATCTCCCCAGCAACATGGTACCATGTTTTTGTGGTTTTTTTACCATGCTGCTATCCAACCCTTTCAAAATCAACAGCTAGTATCATCTAGTGTACCACTTCAGCAGTGAACACTGCAGATTATAATGAACTTCAAACACCAAAGCTACAAGTTCATCAATCATCATGTATGGGATAATGAATTCCATGACACTTATAATTACTAGCATACATGGTTGGTGATACCTGTATCGTGTTGGCCAAATAACAATGATACCTGTATCTTACTACAAAGTATTACATGCATATTCTTTTCCAGAAGATTCTTCCCAAATACCAACATATGTTGTTATTGTATCTCAAACCACAAATGGTTATTAACAAATATAATATGAACACATAATGCTCAATACATATCAATTACATTTTTTCATATATTTTGGATGTTTCGTTTTACTCTGCAGTTTTATGATCAGGCATTATACATTCTGACCAGTTACAATTTTTTTAAGATTGGAAGGAAAACTGTGAGGATTATATATAGAGTTGGGACCAGTCATATGTCTGGGTAAGGGAGGATTTTCAACTCATCAACATTTGCCACATCAGCGTCAAGTTACTAGTAATATGGGAACAGAGAAGTTTTGCTAAAACACATCAATGGATGTGTCCATAGACATGTGTGCTTATATCAAAATATATTAATCAGCATCCTTTATTGCAAGCTAGCAGAATAAAGCAAGTTTTTTTAGATACTTTCCTAAGCACAAAATATATATATGAAATGTATTTCAATACATTATCTGTTAGACGATTGCTGTCTTAAGACTATTTCTGATGAGGGGCCAGTGCCTGTATACTCACTACTGTACTGGATATCCGTTCATTCAAATTTTCCATTAATCACAAGGTCAGGTAAATTAATTATCATTATTGACATCTGGTAAATTAATAACTCATTTTTCTCCACCTTCTTCACAAGGTCAGGTAAATCAATTATCATAACTGACATCAGGTAAATTAATAACTTATTTGTCTCCACCTTTCTCACAAGGTCAGGTAAATCAATTATCATTACTGACATCAGGTAAATTAATAACTCATTTTTCTCCACCTTCTTCACAAGGTCAGGTAAATCAATTATCATTACTGACATCAGGTAAATTAATAACTTATTTGTATCCACCTTTCTCACAAGGTCAAGTAAATCAATTATTATAACTGACATCAGGTAAATTAATAACTTATTTGTTTCCACCTTTCTCACAAGGTCGGGTAAATTAATTATTATTACTGACATCGGGTAAATTAATAACTTATATGTCTCCACCTTTCTCACAAGGTCAGGTAAATCCATTATTATTACTGACATCAGTTAAATCATTAACTTAATCTATTAACCCTTATCCATAGTGATATTAGGTAAGTCATTAACTGTTTTATGTTTATCATAACATCTGGTAAATCATTTACAATATCTGTGGATTGCTTCCTTTATCTTCATTACAAATATGAACATTTACCAAAGAAAAAGACAAGAGGCCCAGAGGGCCTGTATCGCTCACCTGGATACCTAAGCAATCATGGCAAACTATTCTCCAAATGAGATTAAGGGAATATGCCAGACCCCAAGGCCAATCCTTGTAGCAAAGCTATATTAGATTTTTCATGCCCAGCAATTATATATATACGGTTATAGGGTGGGGCTCTCAACTGTTTCCAAGCTGTGACTAAGAAACTAGGTCCCTAGGGGTTCAGTCAGACCCCAGGGTCTATTCTGATGTCATGATTGCATTCGTCTCTTTATGCCCAGCATTTGTATATATAGTTTTGGGGTGGGGATCTCAACCGTTTTAAAGTTATGGCCCAGGGACTATGTCTCCAAGGGTGGGGCCAGACCCTAGGGACATCCTGGAAGCAAATGTGCATTCTTCTCTTTATACTCAGCAATTGTATATATGGTTATATGGTGGGGATCTCAACCATTTCCAAGTAATACATTTTATTGGCCCCACCCCTTAGCCCGGGGG